CATCCTTGGACTTGATCCTTGGACCTCTAGATTGAGAGGTGGAGGCTTTAGCCAACTCGGCCAGGGTTACCACCCTTATTATCTTCGACCGCGCCGTGGCATTAGAAGGTAAGCCTGGGGCCCTGCAACAGCTAGTTATGTCACTGATAATAAATCATTTTTATATATATTACAAAACGCAATATTCAGCAACCAAGTAGCAGGATTAGCTCAGCGGTAGAGCAGCCGACTGCAGATCGGCAGGTCTCCGGTTCAAACCCGGAATTCTGCTTTCAACCCTTTTTTGCTGGTGCATTGGGCGCAGCATGAGTTGTTCAACCCACCCTTCGGCTTTCCGTACTAAGTCTATGTAACACATTTTTTCTGTTTTTTGAGATAAAAACATGAAGAAAAGAGGCGAAACTCTTTGGGAAGACTTGTTTTCCTTCGTCCTCCCTTTAAGCACTGTTGGTATGTCCTTGAAGGTAATCATTGAAGCACTATTGTTGAATATGACACTTTTGAGCTATCTACAAGCCGTGTTAATGACGACAAGGGACGTAGGCTTCATGAAGCGGACTGCATGGGGGCTGGAAACCAGTTGAGCGCATAAACTGCGAGTGTTTGTTATAAAATCAAGGCAGTGTGAAGATCAGAAGACAAAAAGTGTGCTACATGGACTTAATACGGAAATGGAGCATGGGTTGTAAAATAAATTCGAGCAATCCGGGTTGTCAAATAATTTAACCCATTTTTTTTGTCTGTGCCAACTACCTCAGCTAGGACGAGAATAGGGCCTTACTTTCATCAATATACTGGTGATGATGGCTATCCTCAGTAGCGAATGCAGCCTCATCCTCAGAAAGGTGGCTGTCTGCTTGTTAAGAAAAGTTCACAAGCGACCTTGTCGCGACAGTGATACTCATCTCTCGTTCCAATGCATTGGCGGTCTCTGCCTGACGCAAGTTGGACCGTTCAGGATCTGTACCATGGATTGGTGCCCAAGGACCTTACCGCGGAATGGGCAGAGGCGTTCAAGACGTCCAAGACAGTTGC